AAATGTGGGAGTCTCTTCGGGCTGCCTGTCCCCACCACTCACATCAGTCTGCTTCTTGGATGACATCTCTTTGTGTGTATTTTCGCTTGTGTAGCCTTACTTATCAGCCTAGAGGTTTTCGACCACCGCCGCAAAAAAAAAAATAACAATAGTAATGGAAACAATAATAGTAGTAATAATAACGGCAAAATAGGAGCGCGGCAGGCATGAAGACGGCATAACAACGACTTTCGCGAAGGCAAAACAAGAGAAGCATGACAGAAATGCTTCTTTGAGAGCATTCATGATGTCTCTGCTACACCCGCATCACCCTTTCATCGCATTTAGCGGATCCAGTAGGACACAACAAGCCGTCACGTGCTAATAGAAACGCGTACAAAACAAAACAGTAGTTTCTCTTCAATGACAAGCAGAATCGGTGATAATTACCTCTTATTATGACAGTGGGGCCCAACACATAGAATCACTTTTTCCTCTATTTTATAGTGGCCCACGTCATCCATCACAGTGGGAAGGGCGGTACATGATATCAATGCTGTTAAGAGCAAATAGTACAAGAAAAAAAGATTTCCCGCACCAATGCCACTGGCATCATCACAAATTACGTGCTCAAGATACAAAAATTTCATTCCTGACAAAATTAGAATTGAAGAATAACAATAAAAAAAAAAGAAAACAAGATATACAACTTTTGAAATAGAAAATTGTAATAAAAATAAAGTAGCAATGCAAAAACGTTTTCAATTATAATCAGAAAGGAGTAAAGTTGCCCGTAACAAGAAAAACGCAGGATGCCGCTTGACTCTATCGGGTGCTGCGCGCCAACCCCATCGGACGACACCTGCGGTGGAAGGCGCGGTTTTCGCAGTGTCGTCAGCAGCAACGCAGTCCTGCACCCTCGTTTTGCGTTTTATTTTGCCGTAAGATATATTGGTCTCACGTCTCACACGGTGCCACACGACACACTCACGCGGGTTGACGGTTGCCAGGGGTGGCGACCTCAATCGGCGACTGCTGTTCTGGAAGCGCGGACTCTTCGTTGGTGTCTCCGTGGTTCTGAGGAGTGCTCTCCTCCCACGGGTACAAGAAGAACACCTGCAGAACGAAGCAGACAATACCAATGCAGCCAAAAAAGATGAACGCGACTGCCTGACCCTTGTCCTGGTTGCCAGACGGGCCGCCAGAGATGCCCTCCGTCGCGATCGGGTAGCAGATGTTGATGATAACATTAAAGATGAAATTCGTCAAGAGCACGAAGGACGCACCCCTCGGACGGAAAGAGCGTGGGAACAGTTCCTGGGCAAGCACAAAGAAGCACGGTCCAAGGCCAATCTCAAATGCGGCGATGAATACGGCAATTCCAGTGATCGCAACGCCATTCTTCACGTTTCTATCGGCAACGCCGGGGTACACAGGGAACCCGCACAGAAGCAGACACGAGACCGACGCCACAAGCGAGGCACCAAGAACAGCTGGCGCATC